TCATTACTTTTGTTCAAGTTTTGTAACATATTGTCCAACTGACCAAGGTCTATGTAATGTTACAACACTAGTCTCACTGTTCATTACTTTTGTTCAAGTTTTGTAACATATTGTCCAACTGACCAAGGTCTATGTAATGTTACAACACTAGTCTCACTGTTCATTACTTTTGTTCAAGTTTTGTAACATATTGTCCAACTGACAAATAAACAAATAAAAAGAACCAAAGATTTAATTAAAGTTCCGTAAAGTGAGGTCGATTCAGGAAAGAACAACTTTACAATATTTTGCCGAAACTTATCTTAGGAAGACTGTTCACACTTCTAACTTACCTCATGACTCTGGAAGAAGGAAGACTGTTCAAACTTCTTTCGTATGGATCTCAGTCTCTTTATAATTTGACCACATACAGTTTCATGACCGCTGAAGAATAACTTCATAGTAGTCTTGACGTCATCTCGGGTTTTTACTAGTTTGAGATCTTTGGTCTGAGTCTTTTGTTGAGCCTAAGAAAAATTTGGGTTACTGAGTTGATTTTTTTTTTCTTAACATTTATCAAAAGTACAATATTGTCATTAAGAATAGGATTGTCAAATAATCCTGAAAAACTAAGTTTTACCCTAATGAAGTTTAACATCTAATAAGTGATAATCGTATTATGCTAGCTGAACACTGAACAATAAGTGAAGTCATATTTTTATGCTGATAAACACTGAACAGTAAGTGAAGTCATATTTTTATGCTTGCTGAGGACTGAACAATAAGTGAATTCATATTTTTATGCAGATATACACTGAGCAATAAGTGAAGTCATATTTTTATGCTGATAAACACTGAACAATAAGTGAAGTCATATTTTTATGCTAATAAACACTGAACAATAAGTGAAGTCATATTTTTATGCTGATAAACACTGAACAATAAGTGAAGTCATATTTTTATGCTGATAAACATTGAACAATAAGTGAAGTCATATTTTTATGCTGATAAACACTGAACAGTAAGTGAAGTCATATTTTTATGCTGATAAGCTCTAACAATAAGTGAAGTCATATTTTTATACTTATAAGCACTGAACAATAAGTGAAGTCATATTTTTATGCTTGCTGACGACTGAAAAATAAGTAAATGTCATATTTTTATGCTGATAAACACTGAACAATAAGTGAAGTCATATTTTTATACTTATAAGCACTGAACAATAAGTGAAGTCATATTTTTATGCTGATAAACACTGAACAATAAGTTAAGTCATATTTTTATG